AACAGGGGCAACAGCTATTTTTTGCCCCAGGGCTCCCTACTGTTTCAATCCAACCATGCTTACAAATGTAAATGTGATCTCTTTCAGACCAAGGACAGAAACTATATACACTAGGTGTGGCTGCATCTTTTATTTTGCAGATTTATTATATCTTCATACGTGTGCTTTGTTGGTGCCACATGTCTGGTGGAGGATTTATGAGAAAAGTTCTACTGCTTTGTTATCCGGGAAATGAGCAGAAAATAGAGTTAGAATTAATTTCTATGGGGGTTTACGCGATAGCAAAGCTGTGTCAAATATATTTCACTAATGACGTTTCTTTCAGAGTTGGCAGCTCCTCGCTGTAATGGCCCAAGCCTGGGTGAGATCAGAGAGGAAAATAAGAGATGAAAGGGAGTGAGTGGCATCAGAGGGAAGAGTGGAGGCGCTAATGTGGATTTGAGTGTAACGGAGGATGGATGGAAGGATCAGGGGGGTTATTAGAAAAAACGAAAACGAAAATATCCACATGAAAGTAACACAGGACAAAGAGCAGTTAGTTAGTTGTCTCACTCTCTTCTGCAGGTAATGTACATACATTATATTGACATTTAACATAACAAACTGTATATGTGTTTGTTCTGATGTATGTGGTGTTATTTTAAAACGTGTTTATTGGAGAGTTTATCTAGATTACATCAAATATATTTTGATTATTTTTGTTTGATTTCAGATTGTTTAACTTGACTTTAAATACAGTTTTATATTTTTTATTTTATTGGATTTTATTTAATGTTGGATTTTTAATCTGGTTTTATATTTCCAATAGCTTTTGAGACATCAAAACCACAAATGTCAAACCTGTGGTAGTTCTAGAGGAAAAATCCAGTAGTTGTTGACATATTTCAGTTTGTGGTAGACTAAATAATTGTCTGTCAAACTGACACTATATCAGTCATATTATGATAGCCACTCCCACAGTCTCCTTTGTGATTAACATAGCCTGAGTCCAAGCTTTTCCATTTCTGAAATAAAATTAACATTCTTAAATGTAACTTCCCTTCATCTCACAGCGCCGGCACCCAGCAACCAAAATAAAGCTGCAGGGTTTTTTTTCTAATCCAGCACGGTTTCCAAAGCGACCCGAGTTTTTCTGTGCGAAAAAAAAAAAAGATTAAATATGAAGCAGTAATAGCAGAGCCCAAATCTATTGTTTACGATGTACAAACATTTGTCAAGGAGATTATTTCCCAGGATCCCAGAAAAGAGTGCAGAGATTTCTTATTGTGTGTGGATGGTGGGGCAGTACGATGCCAGATGAGGAATCTGTTTGCTGAGCTGAAACTAAATAACGCTGGAGGTAAAACAGACATGTGCCTTCATAGGGGGTTCATTTTTAAATATTTTATATAAAAGAATCAAAAGCATGTGTGATGTATTAAACACAGTAAGTGCTCCAAATTCATGAAGGCCTCAAAATTTACAAGTCACACTTTTAATGCATGTTAACTGCATAACTGAAATACTATCGCTCCTTTGATCCAGCCCAGAGAGCAAAACTGCAAACATTTTAAGTAGTAGGCAGTTGAAAGCGTAATAGTGTAGCCCCTGTTCAACAGAAAAGTAACAGCAAAGTACAGATAGCCGCTTCATTTAATAAAACACAGGGGGGAAAGATTGCATATAGTGGTGTGTGGATGCTTTGCTCCTGCAGTTATTTTTCTGTGGATAAGATAAAGGCAGCTGCTGCTCAATTAGCTGATTGGGCCACACAGGTGCATCTCATTATATACTATTGGAAACTTACCATTTTAGACATTAAATAATACAAGATGTGTGCCATTTCGAAACACCGCTGCCGCTTAAAGGTGTTTCCCATTGTAAACAGTAAGTAAGTTTAACTCCTCCAACTGAACATTGAATGAACAGACCAGACTGCTTAAAGGGAATTTTACATATCTTTTTAAAGACTGTCTGGTGGTTTGTGCTCTTCTTCCTCTGCACCTTTGTTGGCTGTATGGATACCAGTCAGCTGAGGGTTGAGCTCTATGCTGCTTTAGGGTAGACAGCTTAGCACAAAATGAATCAAAAATGTGTTTAAAAAGAGGACAGAAATAACAAAACACTTACCTGCTTCAAGGCAAAAACATGTAATGAAGGAATTTTCTGTAAAATTAAAAAAATAATAATTTTCATCTAAATCTATTTAATTTAGCAAGATGTCGCTAGCAGTTATTAGATATTTTGCATCTAGCCATTCCACTAGGGACGCTGCTTAATAAGATAAATTACGCCTTTGTACTGTGAATAAATTAGGAACTGAGACCATCATTAAACTCTGACACAACCTGGAAAAAGATAACAATGTAGCAACCCTCATTCTGAAAGAAAAACTTCACGAGTCAAAGGTTGAAAAGCTATCTCACTTTTATATGACACTAGAATGACATTTAAGAAAACGGAAAGAAAAAAACCCACATGCATTTTGGAGAAAGAAAATCAGGTCGGGAAGATGGACGGGGGAAAAGAGAAAACACACTCTCCAACACGCCGGAATACATGAATACATCATCATCCTTTCAGTGACCTTTGAATCTTGCTGACATTTTATTTTAATACATGAATTCATAAATATAATCTTCTTTCGCCATATAGTCTATCTATACGAGTCTCATACATCTAACTGTACATCTACTGTAGCATATTGCATATCTCGAATAGAGGGGGGGTAGTCAATAGTCATTTAATACTCCGGCTTCCCTGCGGAAGGGAGATAATACAATTGAATGAGAATAAGGAGGGAATGAAGACAAAGTCGAGGAAGAGATAAAGACTGAGGTTTCTTCTGTCTCATCTCAAACTACAGAAATGTCCTGCAGTGTTATGACATTGACATCTTTGTATATGTATGACTGTCTGTTTTTGTGTACATGTATGTGTGTATGTGCTTCAATGTGTGGTGTATGTGATGCTGTGTGTGAGTGCATATAGGTCCACCTGAGGTCTACCTGCTCTGGATTTCAAATATTGTGACACAACTATATTATATGATGGGTCATCACAATTTGTCAAAATGTCTGACAAACATGGTGCTCAAAGTTACACTCATTTGAACCACATTTCTTGCCTTGGTATAGGCTATTTTTTTATACTCTTGCTACACTCAAACATGCCTGAGTCAAATAATCATTTGGGTTTAATGCAGCAAACAAAAATTGTGAATCCCATCTTCTTGATTCCTGGAAATTTGACAGTACACTGAACCTACAAGAATGATATCCAGTGTCTCACACACACGGAACAAACTCAAGTGTGCTATCAGCTGCTGGCTAAAGTATATTCTGGGCCATTAAACAATGGCAGAGGGTTATAAGGGCAGTTTGATGTCATTCAATTTGCCCTGAATCTCCAGGCTGATCCCACAGAGCAGCGTAAGAATATGTCAGTTTATGTGCTTTATTTCATGGTGTCAGCTCTTCTTGATACGACTCAAATAAACAGAGCTACACTGGGTGGGCACCAGACTGAAAAAAAGGTGGCTGTGTTTGGTACCAGCAACATCTTACAGTTGCTGGTACCAAATCAGAGTCTATCAAAAGATGGGCACATTGTTCAAAATATGAGCTAATGTTTTGGTCGCTATTGCCAGCTAGCAATGGATTTATTTTTATTGTAGCCACCTATTTCCTGAATTTTCTCATCTGTGGCTCTCTCTGAGTTTTATTCAAAGTTCCAGTGTCTCGTGATGGCAGCTGGTTGGGAGAAGAAAACAAGAGTCTACAGCCATTTTAGCAGCTCAGTGATGCTGTGCTTTGAGCTAACTGTTTTTCAGTTTTTGCAGTTAAAGTTAGCAGTAAGCAAACTGAAATAATATTAAAATTCATGCTGCGGGGAACATGAATGTCTGTGCAAGGTTTTGTGCCAGTCCACATAGTAATGTTGAGATATTTTAATATATAAGTGAAAACTTTGGCTACGACAAGCTAACTCAGGCTAAGCTACATAGCCACTAGCAACTGTTTGTGCAACACACCAACACTATCTCTGCTTCAGAGGGAGAACTTGGAGAACTCAGGGAATCAAAGATATCAAACTGTTATTAAGCTTTTAATGTACATATCATATTGAAATGTTTTAATAAAATTTAGTTTACCCCCTGCTTTGGACAGTATATCTTTGACCTGTAAGAACAATTGAACATTTAACATGTAAGTAGAGGGTGCATGTGCTGAGAAAGTCTTTGACTTGTTGGGTATGACAACCTAATTTAAAATTATTTTGTGTTTAAATCTTTGTAAATATAGTTTTTAGGAAAATTTAAATGTTTTCTGAGTAGTAAGTCAGTGTTCATTTCAGTGACACATCTGTCTTCCATATATTATTAGCATCAGGAAAGTGTTAAAGTAATGGAAGTACCCTAAAGTCACTTTTAAACACTATGTTAGCTAGGAAAAGACTATTTGCCAATTTGACCCAGGTCTGCACTCAATACATTTTAGCCCTTTCATGGGTATGTAGAAAGCACAATGAGCCCACTCTGAAAGTGGCCAACGCTTCCACTAATAACCCACATGTATTCTCAGCAGCAGTCACATGTCCATTCTTCTATTCAAAGAGGCCCTTGTCAATTTTCAGACTAGCCATGCTTCTTGCCTGTCTTGGTCTCCCTCTCCTTCACAAACGGAGACAAATGTGTCTACATTCACACAACTTCAATACACTGAAGCTGAAAAGAAACACAGAAAATATACAGCCTTTCAATTTTCTGTTATCCACCAAATCTGCTTAAAGAGGAAAATAGGTTGGTCAATGCTACTGCGATGGTTATTACAAAAAAAAACACCCCAAAAAAACCTGTACAAAGTTCAGTTCTTCCTCAAAAGAAGCTTCAGAGTTTGCCATCTGTTCAATGTTGATGACACTGTTTTTGCACAAAAGTTGAGGGCACGTTGGGTCAAGCAAGTTCTGTTTCTGAAATAGATTTTTTTTTTTTTTTTTTTAGCTGTTTCATTTAAATAACCTTTAAATCACCTTAATAATGTTCATCAATCACTGTAATTTTCAAGCCTGTCTCTGTATTGGCTCTCCAAATACTCCAAATAATATATTTCAGGATGGCTCAAATGTAAAACCCAGGACTGCCACATCTTTCATGGCTGAATCCTGGTTATGTTAAAAGGCTATGCCCCTTATCAATTTCTTTCAGAAAGCAACCGCATATTATGCTGTGGAAAAGAAAGAATGTCAAAACTCAGCAGCTGTAATCTTTTGAGAAATGACTGATCCCAAGCAGCCAGATCCGAGGAGAGAAGAGAGAGAACAGACGATTCAAAGACGAGAGAGAATTTCAGAATTGGGTTCACAGGACATTTACTGTATTAAAAGTCTCTCCCTGTTCTGTTCAAGGTCCAGAAATGCAAATGTTAAGGAGTTCCACTACAGAGAGGCAACAAGTGTTTCATCTATTTTTCCTGGAGCTTGTGTCTGTGGGCCGGCTGCTGCTTTTCATGCTGAAGCCTGTGATATCACTGTCCTCCTGCTCGCCTCTCGCCCTTCCCTCCGTCCAGGGGTTGGACAAGAAACCATGAGCGTCTATGCCGTAGAAGTGGCGTCCGTCTTTACTCCGGGCAGATAGATTGGTTTGGTCCAGTGAGCCTGTGCTGTTACATTTCTTCACCAGTGGGGGTGCCAGAGAGCCCGGGGTGAGCAGCGACGTCAGTGAGAGGCTGTTCAACGTTTCTGACAAGTGTTCGCTGTTGAGGGTCTGGCGGCAGCCATCCCCACCTGCCCCCGTGCCCACGTCCTCATCTGAAGGGTCCATGGAGTCCTGCCGGGGGCAGCCAGGACTGGTGCTGCCACCGCCACAGCTGCTTTGGCTCCTCTGATGCCCCCTGGTGGCTTGGAGGGTAAAAGTAGTACTGCGTCTCTTTAGTAAAGGGTGGTCCTGGTCTCCTGTGGCTGGCCCCTGGGAGTGTAAGGGGTGGCTGGGGAGCGGGCAGAGGAGAGGCACAGGGAGATCCAGATCTCGAGGTGGGGAGACGCTGAAGCTGAGCCCTTCCTCTAGTGTGGTCTGCAGACTGCCCTCAGAACTGCCTGTGGCCAGGGAGGAGTCACTGTGGGACGGGTGCTGCACACAGAGGGGGGAGGAGGTAAAAGAAAATGAAAGGACAAAATGAGTCTTCAGTGGGAAAGAGATTAATATTGGTTTGTACCAACAGGAACTTTTAACTAAGATTAAGGTTATTCAGTGTAGCTAAACTTTGTTTGAACCACGTTTAAGGTTAATTCCATCTGTGTTGCACAATGTAAATTAAATCCCTACACAGGTGTTGTTACTTGATGGTTACCAAACTTAACCTACTAATAAGAATGATCACAGTGTAAATTGTCCTGCCTTAACAGGCGCAACAGGAGAGGGACTGAGATTTCACTTAAACATGCATCTGTGTGTGCCCACACAAGAGAAAGCGAGCGAGAGAAAGGCTGCGTTTCATTAGTAGTTCCACTTCCCCTCGTTCACTTACCCTCAGCCCTTGGTATGACGTAACAGCATACGTCGCACGGAGGCCACTT